GCATTTCTGGCATTTATGGATGGATTTCGTTCAAACTTGGTACATACATTAGACATTACGGGTTCCTGATGCACGTCATTTTATTTTTCAGATCAGATTCAAAATGGCTGTCTGGCGGCCATTTTGTTTTCAATGAATGGGTTTCCAGACCCATATGTCTGACTTGTTTTGTCTGATTATGTTCAAATTTTTAATATTCATTATACATCATGTCACAGATATACGGATATATTGGTTTGATGATCTTTTTCAAAGTGTGCTATTTTTGTGCTAAAAAAATCCTCGAATATCAAGCATTTCTTGCATTTATGGATGGATTTTGTTCAAACTTATAACACACGTTAGACATTACAGGTTCCTGATGCATGTCATTTTATTTTCAGATTGGATTCAAAATAGCTGACTGGCGGCCATTTTGTTTTAATGATTGGGCTTCTAGAGCCATATCTCTTAAATGCTTTGACTTATTATATTCAAATTTTATATATTCGTTATACATCATGTTATATATATATATACATGTATTCAAAATGGCTGATTTTGAATGCTGTTCCAGAGCAATATCTCTCAATATGGACAAGTACTTGTTTGAGGATCAGATACAAATGTCAATCATTTTAATGTTAAAAAAATCATATTCCTGACATGGTTATATTCCAGCTATATTACTATAAACATAACTATATATCTCAAATTTGATAACTAACGGGGACTGTGCCATGCATGGCTTGTTTACATGTTTACATTGTGGTATTAGCACCAGTGATGTAAACCAACCTGTGATTCACATGTTGACAGTGTTTGCCTTAAGCCGTATGACTGAGGACTGCAAAAACTGTATCCGGTCCATAACGATTTTATCATATACCTTATAGGTGTAATTACAATTTTACCATGTCTTGACCTCAAACACATGACGTAATTTAGAGTGACATGTTTTGTTTTGATTGATGAATGCCAAGCACGATTCAGGAAATTATTGCCCTGATGTGAGACCATACTTCCCATAGCGTTACAATGTCTAGCAATACAAGGTATATAATAATGTGTTTTTTAGCTCCACTGTCGACTTTGTCGAGCGGAGCTTATCATACGAGTGATTGTCCGTCGGCGTCTGGCGTCCGTGTCAATGTTTTACTTTTCCGATTCTATTTGAAAACTACAAGCCTGAATGCTTTGATACTTGGTGTATATGTACCTTGGGTAGACCTCTCTCAGATTTGTTCATTTCATGATCATATCTTCAATTCTCCAATTTTGGTGAATATTTTTGTCATTTTGGTAAAAAGTGATATTTTCGACTCCTTGTTAAAAACCGCAAGTCCAATTGCTTTGATATTACATATATAGGTACTACATGTGGATCTCTCTCAGATTTGTTCATTTTGTAATGATATCTTTAGTTCTCTAATTTTGGTGAATATTTTTGTCATTTTTGGTAAAAAGTGATATTTTCTTCTTGTTAAAAACCACAATCATTTATGGTGAAAAATGATATTTTTGAATTTTTGTTGAAAACAGCAAGTCCCATTGCATTGATACTATGCATATTGTTCATTTTCTAATGATATCTTCTGTTCTATAATTGAAATGTGCATTGCAAACAGCGGAGCTATCTCAGCCGAGAGGCTGCTTGTTACTTTTACAGCTTCTTGAAACTACAAACCTGATTCCTTTAATACTTTGAAACTAACTTAGGTAGACCTCACTTAGATATATTTATTTTTCTAATTTTGGTGAATATTTTTGTCATTTTCGGTAAAAAGTTATATTTTTGTTGTCTTGTTGAAAACCGCAAGTCTGATTGCTTTGATATTACACGTATAGGTGGACCTCACTCAGATTTGTTCATTTCATGATGATATATGCAATTCTCTAATTTTTATGATTTTTTTTTTGTCATTTTCGGTAAAAAGTGATATTTTTGTTGTCTTGTTGAAAACTGCAAGTCTTATTGTTTTGATATTATACATAAAGGTACTACAGGTGGCCCTCTCTCAGATTTGTTCATTTTCTATCGATATCTTCAGTTCTTTAATTGAAATGTGCATTGCTAACAGCGGAGCTACATTGTATCTCAGCCAAGAGGCTGCTTCTCTTGTAGTATGCTATTTTTGCATGCACTGTAAATTATGGTATAATGTTCAAACTTTATTTATCAGGTAGCATAATCGTAAAAATAATTTTGTTTTGGTATTTTGCATGTATCCTATCAACCAATGTAATACCACATATATCTGCTGTAACTGTTAATCTAGTACTAAAAATACCACACTTTCTTTCTCAGAGTACTGGCTCAGCTGAATCCACATCTGTGAATGCCACACTAATAGCTGAGAAGGCTGTCATGACAACCAAAATAACAGAATTAGAAAGTCAACTCATTAAGGCAAAGCAAGAATCTGAGAGGCAGTCGCGTGAATTACAGGGACTAATTACTGAAAAACTGACTGTTACTAATGAAAGTGACAAACTAAAAGAACAAAATAGTAGTCTTTGTGAAGAAATTAAAGGCCTCAATGACCTTCTAAAAACATTGAAAAATGAAAGTGAAAAACTGGAGGATGAGAAAAAAAAGTCCCTGGAGGAAATTGCAAGTATGAGGAAGGAACAAGATGATTTGTTAGTTTTGCTGGCGGATCAAGACACAAAATGTGAGGAGTACAAGAAAAAATTAAAGTTGCTCGGACAGCAGGTGAGTGTTCTGTGTCCATGTTGTGTCTTTAAGTTATATATATATATTTTTTTGTTCCTGCTATGATAGTAGAATAAATTAGCAATGAAGATGGAATTTTTCCAAATTGGCCGAATGGTGGCCATTTTTGTGCTAAAATAATCATCAAAATCAATCGTTTATCGGCTGTTTAAAGATGGATTTTGTTCAAACTTGGTACATACGTTGGACATTATATGACCTTGATGCACATTATTTTGTTTTTCAGATAAGACTCAAAAGGGCCAACTGGTGGTCATTTTGTTTTAATGAATGTGGTTCTAGTGCCATATCTCTGACTTGCTGTGACTGATTATGTTCAAATTTCATATATTCATTATACATGTATTTAAAATGGCTGATTTTGTTTTAATTAATGCTGTTCCAGAGCAATATCTCTCAATACTCGTTTGGCGATCAGATAAAAATGTCAATCAATTCATTCCTGACATGTGGACTGGGGACTGTGCATGCATGGCTTGTTGTTTACCATTTTGTATTGCTAGGTCACTTCAGATGCCAATGGTAACAAATTCTGTTTTGTTTTCGGCATTAAGTGAATTTTTGTTTAGTGAGATTTTCATTGGAAGATTAGTCAGATAAAGATGTGCACATGTGATATATTTTGAAATATTACGCGGTTCACTTTCATGTCCACAGGTACATTAATAAATAAACATTTTTTACAGGTGGATGATGACGACGACGATGACGACGACGACGATGATGATCTTGACAATGATGAAGATGAGGATGAAAATGGGGAAGGAGGAGAAGAAGGAGGAGATTGAATCTTGAAAATACAACGTTAAATCAGTTTTTACAGATACATTAATACTGTGTTCACCAGATCTAATTATATTCTCTGACTGAAATATGCAACAACTATTATATATCTGTAGTAGTTGTATTTCAATGCACTCTAATTGTATACTTCCACACGGTGATGGAAAGTAACAAATCAAGACAATGCCCTCTTGTGGTGATTCTACAAGCCCGGTCGTACAGTATGTCTTAAAGTATAAGGCAGCAACTTGGCAGACTTCCTCACCACACATCTACTGACTGTTTGCATTTAACTGAAATGTTGGCTTTCCAGATTTTTTATCCATTTGTGTGGATCATTCCATATTACAATATGAAAAGTCGCTGCTTTTGCAAATTAGAGTTGAAATAAATACTTGTAACACCTTGTTTATTTATTTTCTTAAAATCAAATTTTAATTGTAAGTGAAGAAACCCCCTGTAGCCATGTTGTTAATTACTGTTCAATTAAATGCAAATAATCTCAGTTTCTCTGTAACCTACATGTATACTTGTAAATGAAATGATGTATTTTGCAGTTGGACTTGACCATATGCAGCTCATGCTGGCAATAACATTGATCCAAATTCGTTCCACATGGGCGTCTTGTATATTTCATTCAACACAAGTTATTTAAGCTCTATTTTGCGAGTCAAGTGTATTGCATTATACATTACTTCAACCACACTGACAACTTAATCAATGTAAGTTACTTTGACATTCATTCACACATCATTGAACTTGAGTTGAGGCAGATATTCTTTCAGATATTAAACACCTTTTAAAATATTTAATCCTAGTCATTCATCCGATACAATCAAGTCTGGAATACACCAACATTTTATTTGAATGTCAGTGCCGGGTAATATGCACACAGTTTGTCATTTAAAAGCTCCCCCCCCCTATTCTCAAACTTATTGTACATGTACCGGTATTACTAATTTACTAAAGGGAAGCCCTATGTATGGTTCGTTTTGATGAATTGAATGTTTTATGTCAGTTCAAATAAATGTCAGTAAGTCTTTCGTAATCGTACATGTTCATTAGTGAGATGCATCATGGGAATATCAGTGTACACGTACATCGTAAATATTTCAAATTAATTCAAAAATTGCAATGATATATCATTACAGTGTATTTCTTTAATCCTTGATAGAAACTGAGTTACTGATCACTAATAACTAGATGTTTGTCATGATTTTCATGTGAGCTCCAATACTGCTGTCCCCATGGTAACAAGAATGTCTGATATCTGAAATACCTCGTCGCTAGATTCAATACAAAAATTAGGATTGTTTGCAGTTATACATATTAAGTCTTACACGGCAAATAACTTTTTATCATTTCTGAGAAATCCCTCGTATACAAAATGTGACAACTGCCGTTGGAAGTTGCGTCTAGTTAACTACATTTAGAAACAAATGTACTCAATATTTTAATAATACCTTTTTTTTTTGAAATAATTTTGTAAGTTATGACAATAAGTTGATGAATTGACAGAATATTTTTTCAGAATTTTATATCACTTAGAAGTTGATCTCAGCTGTATATATTTTAACCCTTATCCTGTATAGAAACTACAATGTTAGTCAGCCATTTTGTTTTTCTCTTGCTTCATTGGAGAATTACAAGTATAGTACATTATAGCTTTAATGTACTGTTGTATTATCTCTGTCTTTATTCTCCACCTGCTTGAATTGATTTGGAGAATAATTTTTTCTGTGTTCCCCTTTACACGCAAGTTGTATCAGAAACCGTTTCAGTTTTTAATTGCGTCTGCACAATAGACATTTGCCAAATTCTTATTTATGGTGGAAAATATTGGTATATATATAAAAAAAAAGTTAAATAAAATAATGTTAGCATAATTGGTGTTTGTGTCCACTTGGGCAAAGCATGATGGATAAATTGTGTGTCTGTTTTTCTGGGCATTGAGGTATAAATATGTATATATCTACCTCCAATCATTATGAAAAAGATATTAGTATAGAATGCTAAATTTTTCAATCCCAATTGTAAATTAAGGAATTACAAATTTTTGTTGTTGCAAATTTTCAATTTTACAACAGTCATATTCTCTTTTCACCCAATTGATTGAAGGTTATGGGCATTACCCAATGCATCTGCAGTCATTACTAAAAAATCATGCAATGTCTGACAAAGCTGGTTTCTAACACTTGCTAAGACTTTTAGTCTTGAGTCAATCAATATAATAGGAAATGTAGTCTCAGACAAACACTTCGTTTTTGTCACAAGCTTATTGCAGCTAGAAATGGTGATTTATTTTTGGACAGTCACCTAATCAATGTTTGTCAAACCTGCAACAGATCAGTAAACCCAATTCCTGATACGAATCAAGAGCTTTTTATATAGTTGCACTGCCAGGTAATGGTATCTCTGAGTGTGAATAACAATGAATATAAGCACAGGTGCTAACAATGGTTTTCCGGGTGCTCCCTTGAAAAATTTGAGGGTGGCAGAAAAAAAATCCTGTAGAGATTAAAAAAATAATAGTGTGCTTATTTCTTGGAAAAACGAATATTACACAAAATTAAGATAACGAGAACTATTTTTTGCATAGTTTTTCTTTCGTGCCCCCCCCCCCCCCAACTTGAAGGTTTCAAGAGTAAATCTACATACTCGCTCAACTGCACTGGAGCTGTTGAGGTCAAATTTGACCAATTTGCTCAGTGATCAGGTTGAGGTAGAAAGGGAATTTCCTGCCATTTCTAATGTATTTGAGAGCCTAATATTCGTGAAAATATTCTGTGATTGTCAAATCGAGGATTCATTTTATATCACCAGTATAGTATTTAAAGGTGGCAAGTAAATCCCATTCCTGATGGACTGAGTGCCTGCACTATTTAATTTCACTGGCATATCGATAGTCTCCCTATTTGCATTCACACTCGACCCAAGACGATGCTGTGCTGATTGAATGAGAGGTGGCATTATTTTCTAGGAGGAAATGCTGAGCCTTATGTTACACCAGGGTTTCACACATTACTGATAGCCAGTCAAAACAATTTTAGTACCCTGGATATGTTTTCTGTGTCACATGCTTTGCATAATGAATGACCTAAAAGTGGCCATCGAGCAAAATCATTCACCATAGTCCTAGATCAGGGAGTTATCTACTTCCTGTAACAACAGGCCTACCTAGCTCAGGGGCTGAATGTCTGGCATTTCGAACTTGATCAAACAGCACTTTCCACAGCACGCATACCACTTTCCAACTGGGGAAACATAACACAATACTGAAAAGCTGTAGTTCTCAGAAAAGTCATTCACTAATCAGGAAGAAACGGTCCTAAGAACATGTGACTAGAAGGGCTCAGCACCAAGTGAAGATGCACCACCCAACCACTTCAGATGCTTCAGTAGGCAAGCTTTTGGGAGGCATGGACAACCTTTTATGGATAATACCACACTCCAAATTTCCTTTTGGTCATTTTATATGCTTTTTATTACAACTTGACGTCTATTACTCTGGACAAATGGTCCCATTTAGAAGTCATGCAAGATTCAGTTGGCTCGCCAAACCTGATTAACAACAAGTCCACCTCAATATGTACACCAGCAGATCCACTGAAAGTGAGAGCTTGGTAGCTAAAACTTCAGACTTTGTTCTCCACTGCATACACTCGAGCAATTTCCTAGCGACTCTGCATGAACCAATTAACCCCGAGAGCTTTCCAGCATTTTGCAACAAGAAACTTGTCATTGTCATACCCTACTGGGATCAACTAGCAGTGGCGGATCTACCACGTTGAAACAAATATTCAGTTTGTTTTTGTATAATAATGGCGATTTTAAAGTTTGAACCCCCTGTAACAAAATCCTGTATCTTGTATCCTGACAAGACAACAGGCTATTGGGGGGGGGGGTGATTTTAATTACTTCACATGCTATTTTAAAGGTAATGTTATTTCCAATTAATGTAATGCAATATTTCAATCGATATCTCTAGTGGAAGTATGTAATGGGTGTAAGTGTGGCTTTGCTATGTGGAATGACTGATTATCTCAGTGAATTCAATCAATTTGATTCAATAATCTTCATTATTTAAACAACCATTTTGCAATATTCGCTGTATCTGGCATGTTATTTTACGGATATAGTGGACTACAGTGGATATGACAAACAAAATAGGAGATCACATCATGCAATTCAGATCATGCTTTGTGAAATGACTTTAAAATTCCATGTCTTGCCTCACAAAGTTGCAACCTGTGAATATTTGGATAGTTTTGTCTGATAAACCAATAACCAATCTGAGGTGTGAATCTGGAACAGTTCTGAACTCACAGACAACCCATAAAGATAAATAATGTTGCTACTGATGCGATCATTGAGTTGGTAGACAATGGCACATTTCAGAGTACCGCTAACAATTATAGTAATGAAGATTGTCCCTAATCAGGTCTGGTACAGACTTGTAAGCAACTGATGTCACACACACCAGTCCCCTGGCGTTTATAGTGGCGACAAACAGACTACTGATTAATTAAATCTGACAGAGCTTGTACTCTACGTAATCAGACACTCAACCCCGTCTCTGAGAACATCTTGGCAATGGTGTTGTGAATCTCCCGCATGTTTCTGTACATCATGTAAGGATTCATATTGCTATAGAACTTAAAGGGGTCAAACACCCTTCTTTGGCTGCAATCACCATGGCAGTCAATTTATCTGGGTAGCTCTACAAAAGTGGTGACTGAAAGCTGTACATGCCATTGGAGAAGGCTCCCTTGAAAGTTCTTATTGTAGAAGCACAATCAACTAAGGAAAGGGGAAATTGGTGCATATCATCTGATGTGAGTGTTTGAAGGTGGTGTAGGAGTTACATATACATATACCCCCAAATACCCAAGTACCTCAAATGGATTTTCTGTTTCTGGCCCATAACGATTTGTGTCAGTTCTCTGTGGGCTAGTAGTCAGTGGCGGACCCAGCAAAATGTATGGCGGGGCGGGGGGGGGGGGGGGGGTTCCAAGCTTCGCTTAAAATACGAATACGAAGCGTAAATTGCAGAGAAGCTATGCGTAATCCAGATGATATGAATCGTCATGCGTTGGGGGGGGGGGGGGCTGTCCGCTCTGGATCCGCCACTGCTAGCAGTATGTTTCATGGGATCTGAAAGTGGACAAGTCGTGCAAGCAATAGACGTGGCACATACCGAGACCAATTTTGGAAAACATTACAACAACTTGAGGAAATGATATACCACCAATGACGGTATACTGATGCAAATGGGAACTGGTAACTGGATTACGTTTAGAAAACTTATATCAAATGACACAACATGGAATTAGTGAAAGGATTATGAAAAATGTATCGATATATATATATATATAAATCAATTGCTTGGGATATCAAGGCAATTTATATCAGATGTTTGAGTTTTCCGAGGCGATATATCGATTGTATTTAAAATCTTTATAAAATGATTTTGAGGAATGCAGAAATAGTAACTCCAGACTGTAAGTTTAGGAGAACATGTGTACAGTCACGTACTTGTTTGAAAGTGATACTAATGCAATTGTAGTATGTGAATGGGTATAACAAATGGCTGCTAGTTGTTAGTTACTAATGGTTAGTTACTAATGCCAACATCAAACATAGTAGTATACATTCGGTCAGTTCAGTAAACTAACTTTACTCTAATCGGTCGCTGGTAGCATAGTGGTTGTCGCATCAGACTCATGATCGGTACACCCAAGTTCAAATCCTACCTTAGGCTGAGCATCAAATGGTCGACCCCTACCCTGGGTAAGTGTGCCACAGAC